AATATATTTTATGTCTGGTTCCTCACAAAATTGCTAAGCAGATTTTTAAGGTTAAATAAGTTTTCTGTTGTACATGAAAGCTTGTTGTTTTCTGGTTTTTGGTTTTGGGTTTTTTTTGTTTTGTTTTAATTTTTTTGTGATAAAGATCTAGTTTTTTTAATATTAAAATGATCTAAAGGTTTTTGTTGCTCTTTTAGTTAAATGGACACCATATACCATCTTTCTATTCAAGCACTGCCAAAAGAATTAAAATAAAACCTGAAACAAAGTGAAAAGATTTACTGTTGTTTTTAGAAAAAGTGATCATAAGAGTAAAGTAAATACTGAAATCTTTGTGTATAAACTGCTTGATTTTCTGCCTTTAAAATTTTAACACTTTGAGTCCCTTGTGTAAACTGAATATCTTCAGTTACCAAAAATATTTGGGTTAAAAATACATTAAGGAATTTCACTGCTCCTTAGTTTCAAACCACAAAATTGATTTACTTGAAAGAGAAGTTTTCCAGCATCAGAAGACAAAGATTGGTCTTCATTCAATAGTACAATGTTAACAATCTAAGGAATTACCTAATTTATTTAGTCTGCACTGATTAACTTCGTTCTTGATGGAGACAGCTGCTATTGCATGTGATGACAAATGAAACTCCCTGCTATGGTGCAAAGTTTTCTGACTAAATTGGCTGGTTTCCTACTAGTCTCAATGGCCACAGAGAGCATGAAGAAAGAAACAGAAGAAAGAAAGACTTGTGGTGTTTTTTAGGTTTTTTTTTTTTTCTGTTCTTAAAATTTGAATTCAAACTATCAAGCTGTGTTGATTTGAAAATTGGTGTTTATATTTTATTAATTGTATTGTGTGCTGTGACACATCTGTGAACCTACAACAATTAACTAGCTTATTTTTCCAAGATATGAGTGTTGTTTCAATTATCCTTTTGAAATTTTATTTGTGGCATGCTGTAATTATACCTTGCACATACATTTTGTAAAGTTTCCCATTGAACTGAGAAACTGTGCATTGTGCTGACAAACCCCAGCTTGTCGTGTTTGCTGTTTTAAGCGTGCTGTGAAAGCTGGTCCCTTGTGCTCCAAATGTAAATTGGACACAGCTAATTGCACCCACAGCTGGTGAGCAGGTTCAGTGAGTGCCGATTTCTGGAGGGAAATGTGCCTCCACTCCTCATGCCTAGATAGAGCTTTGAGTCCTCCTTTAGATGTGCTTCATTATTGGCAGGGGTAGGCTTCACTGCCACTGCTTCTTATGGGAAAACAGAACATTCTGTATTTGTTGATAGAAACACAGAAATGTTTTTCTGTTTTGAATGTAGACCATTTCTCATTAATTTCTGTGCAAAACTCACTTCCCAAGACCCTGAGTGCTGAAACTTATTCTGAAAGTAAAAGCAATCTTACACTCTTGTGCTGTTTGTAGAGTCCTTCACTCCAGAGAGAAGTACAACACCTAACACAAAGAGAGGCTGCACTTCTGTGGTGAGCTGCAGCTGCTGAGGTACGGAAGAGGAGAGCTCAAAAAAGGATGTTGTGTTATTATTGAAAATTCAGTCACTCGTGGATGCCTAGTGGGTGCAGTTATGGGAAATGCACACGGTGTAAACTCAGCAGACATCTGGTGGTGGCAAGCTACCAGAGAGGAATTAATGACTGGCTTCTCAGGAGGAGCTGTTTTGGTTAGATGCCGTATCATTGTTACTCTGCCAGATACATGAACATCTTTCCTGGTTTTGAGGAAAAATGACTAAAAGCAAGTTAGAAGGAACAGCCAGTTGGTCTTAAGTAGCTGATGTGTTGACCAGTGGAAAACACATTGTGGCTTGGAGAAAATACTTAGTGAGAGTAAGCCTGCATCAGTAATAAAGAAGTTGCCATGAAAGCGAAACTGTGCATGAACGCCCGAGGCCCAGCCTCCTTAGGACAGTGCTAATCCAACACATTACAGTCTCTATCCCACCTAAATAAAACCAACAAAAGATAGTTTTAGAATTGAACTACTAAAGAAAGGAGCGAAAGCTTCTTTAAAAATCCTATGATAGTTTGCTGATTGCTACACTGATGGCTACACACTGAGATCTCACAGAAGCTTTTGGATTGTGAATTATATAATTTCACACAAAAGAAGTAAACACACACTTTAAATTGCACAACCCAGAAGAAAGAGACCATGAGAAGAATCACCTTGTTATATGACAAAACTGCAGGATTTTAATTTACTTATACAATTTTTACTTCAGAACTACTATGTCCCTATTTCTTGGAAACACAACAAATACTGAGGCAAAAGACAACAGAAAGTTTGTTTGAAAATACATGCTATGTAACATCACAGATCTAAGGCTTGTACTTTAATGTAATTTAAGACAGTTTCATATTGGAAACCAAAGAATTCACTGAAAAATAAATACAATTACCATGCATCACAGAGGAAGAGAGATTCTCATGTATCGTTTTGCATATAAAACACCTTTTATAAGGACTTGACTTACTGAAACTTTGAAATTGGCCAAGTCAAATATTAAGGGCTCATGCTCCTCAGGATTAGAGGGAGGAAAAATACTTTCTGTGTTAGTATAAAGTAGCTCAGTGTAAAGGAACAAAGTGAACTGCCCCATTGAACAAAGAACAAGCAGTGAGCTAAAGGAATGTTTTCCTGGGATCTCTATCAGGCTTTTCTTCAAGAGATTTCATGCTCAGCTGAATGTTAGAAGCAAATTATCTACAAACACACTTCACTTCTGCTTATGTATTAGATTTCCCTGGTAATAATAGAATATTAAAGCTGTTTTCTTGGTAAGACAAGGCTCCTGATGTAGCAGTAGCCCACCTCTTTGTGTGTCTCCCACATATTTTAGCAGTTGGAAGTACTTAATACATAATCTCTGGTTAAAGACAGAGTTTGCAGAGGTAGAAGTGGAGAATTATGTCTAGAGCTATTCAAAGAGATTAGAATTTGCAGTTTGTTTTCAACAGTGTTGGATAACATTCAGGATTTTTTGTTGGTGGTGTTTTTCTGTTGGTTTTAAAACTTTGTGACATATTTAAGCAGATTTTCTGATGTGCTGCTTTACTGAAGTGTCTGCTTTCTCAGCATATATTTCAGTACAGTGTTTTCACAGTATCATGAGCATGTGCTTGGCACAACAAAACTGTCTTAAATTTTTACCTTTTCTTGTCGACCTTAAAAGAGGAAATGTTTTTGAATATTTTTTAAAAAGATGAGTCAACAAGAGACAACTCACACAAAAGGAGTGTATTTTCATGAGGGCGTGATGGACAAATCATTTCACACAGCATCCCTTGATTTGGATGGATTTTCATCTGCAAATGGCAGTGAAATTGTCCATGTAAAAGTCTGATGGTTTTTGCTTTTACTAATGATATGGTCTCCTTAACAATTAATGACAGTAAAACATGCCAGGAAGGGAAAAGTGTGATAATTAAGAAAGAAAGCGACCCTGTGATGGCAAAACACTTCACTTGTACTAGGAAAAGGAATTGCTCCCACTGTGTTTGCTTTTGTGAAGAAAATGAGTGGTCAGGATGTTTCTCAGGATCAAGTGCATATAGCAGGAGCAGCCACTACTGGATTCTCAATTGCTTAATCCTAGAAGACAGGAGCACACACTGTAAAAGGGACATATCTAGGGTACCTTTAGCAGACAAATGTCTCAAGGGACCTGTTGCTGTGCAGTGTCACAAAGGGCTGACAAAATGTATAACAGCAGGGGAATTGATGCCGTCACTTCAGCACAGAGTGGTTCTTGGGATTAGACAAGGGAGTTTGCTGTATGGGAAGTACAGACACTGAGACATAATGCACAGCAGTGGCATCAAAAGGCAGTCTTGGTGCTCTATTGGCATTCAGAACTAATGACACTTGGTACCACATTCATGGGTTGGTGACAACGTCTCAATGTGAGTTTACAGGATAAACTATGACAACTGGAGTACTGGTCATTATTTGTGGCAGTGTTCATTAATGCAGCAGTAGGAGTGTCTTGAACGAATTCTTAGTGGTACTGGCTCCAGCAAAGACATCCAACATGTTCTTTACTATATAAACTAAAGTTCAAGGTTTGGGCCTGAGCTCAGCATCTCTGATGGCTCAAAGTGCTGGACTAACAGTAATGTTCAGCAACTTTGCTCCCCTACAGTGGACATACACAAAAGTAGCTGTGTGAGAGGTTTTTTTTGGATATCAAACAAAACTCTCAACAAACAAAAGACCCATTGAAAACCTGGCTTTCTGCTGTAAGACCTTGTCGTCACCAAAAAAATCTCAGTCTGACTGAACGAAAGCAAGGCACTAACCATACTTTTTTTCCTTTAGGAAAAGGGTGGAAGGAGAAATACTTAATGGCAGAAGCTGATTTTGGTGGTGGATGTGCTGCTCTGGAAGGAACTGCTGCTACAGAGAGCCCTGTGTGACTCCAATACTGAACTGAAGGAGCTCCAACATCCGTGCCTGTGCCAGGTAATTCAGCAGGGACATCACTGCCTGCACGGAAGCACAGACAGATAGTCTCACTATTGCTACACAGAACTAAAAATTAAGGCAAGATGAGAGCAAAATGGAAGGTATCATCCCAACTCTTGTCTCCAGCAAGGTCCAAACCAGATACGCGGGGCAGCAGCACGAGCACAGCACACACTGTAACATCACTTTCTCCACTTGTAATGGTGTGAGCCACTCGTATTGCCAAGGGAAGTGCCCACACAATTAGCGAAGCTTTTCCCCGCGGGCTCCCCTCGGGCACGGCTGGCCCTGAGCACGGCGCTCCCGCACTCCCCTCACCTCCGGGAGGGCTGGCACATGCGGGGCGCCACGGCGGCCAAGCCTCCGCTCGCCTCACGATCCAACTGTGCCCGCCACAAGCGGGGAAATCGGCGATAGGGAGGAAAATCGGCGATAAGCACAAAAATCGGCCGCAGCCGCTCAGCCACCGTCCCAGCGGGCCCTGACAGAGCGGCGACCCCGCCTCCCGGCCGTGCGCCGCCACAGGCGGGGCCGCGCACGCGTGTCACAGCGGCACTGTAAGTCTCCATTTTGTGTAAATTTCACCCCTTCTCCCTGTCCCTGCTGCGGATCGTTCCAGCGAGCGGGAGCAGCGGGCTGCGGGCGCTGCCGGGGAGCCCCAGGGCAGCGCTGCCCCGCTCCCTAAGGCGCTGCCGCTGCCGTGCCCTCCGCCCGCCGCCCCCTCACGGCCCCACCGTCCTCCTGTCCCTCCCCTCCGGCTACTGAAACACCCTCGTGGGGAGGTTTCGCGCTAATTAAAATAGTTTTATTTGCCCCTCGTGGCGGTGCTGTGGCCCCTCGGGGACCGGCAGAAATAGAGTGTGTTAAAGCAGATCCATTAATTCCCATGCTCAGCAGAACGCAAGGCACTCGTTGCAACAGCCAGCCCATGCTGGGATCACTGAGACTGAGCAGTCGCTGAAGTTTGAATTTCTGTGTAAGGCAGTAACGCTTAAAACCATTTCAGAAACCTTACGTGCTTTCTCGAAGTGGTCGGTCAAATGCTTTTATACCAGTTCCTAAATGATTTTAGCTGAACATGGGTAGGCTGCATGACTATACCGTACACTAGATAAAGGTGGCTGTGTTTTCCTAGGGATACCATGTGTCCAAGGAATAGATTGATATTGCAGATTCCTAGTAATCCATTTCAGAAATGAATAAAATCAAGATTAAGGACAAGAAAAAGCCCCACTCCCTACTCCCTCCCTAAAATAGTCCTCTTGTTCTTGGCTGTAGGATGGAACCTAAAATGGGAGCTTAGGGATTTTCAGCGAAAAGTTTTAAGACAAAAAATTATTTTAGGTTTAATTTTTTTTTTTTTGGGGGGGTGTAGTGTAATTAAAAATCTTACATGATATCATAATCTTAAAAAGAGGAAAATACAAAGTTCAGTTCAAGGAGCAATTGTACAATATGTCCACCTGTAAGCAGTTTTTAAAGTATTTAATTTTTGAATGTTGGATGTTAGTGATTCAGATAAGATATTACAGAACATGTGCTAAAATGTTAAGTTTAAGTTGAATCACTGAAATGTCTAATGGAAAAAAGGCATTAAATATTTTGTATTTTTTCTCAGGACAAGATGTCTCATCTCAAATAAATAGCAGGTCCCCATATTTTATAACCTACATTCACATTTCCTTTCAAACGCACTTTTAGACATTCTGAATAATTTCAAGTCTTTGAATGACAGGAGAGTACTTTTCCATCTTTAAAAGTTACATTCTATGTGCTGAAAAATTCAAGCTTAGGTAGAGCTGGCACCTCACCCATGCCCATGGAAACCCTTCCTGCACAGCCCTCTGAGGGACAAGGAGACAGCACCAGCAAAACCACTGAGCTGTGCACAGAACCCGTGCAGACAGCTTGCACTCGGATCGCGCTGGAGTTTGGATAAAGTTGGAAAAAGCAGCCTACACCCTCCTGGTACCAGTGCAAGCAGCACTGGGCCAAGGCTGGTTGAAATGAGAAAGCTGTGGAGGAAGCCGTGTTGTGACAGTTCTGTGTTCCCCTTGGCACGCCTTTTGCAGCTGCAGTATGCTTCGAGCTCTGGGCTTTGTGCTTTTCAGAACCCAAATCCTAGGCATAAACCTAACCCTAACTGAGGGAGTAAAGGTTTCATGGGGATGAGGCTGGTGGCAAGCAGAAAGCTGTGGAGGGAGCCATATTGTGGCAGTTCTGTGTTCCCCTTGGCTTGTCTTTCGCAGCTGCAGTGTGCCTGGAGCTCTGGGCTTTGTGCTTTTCAGAACTCTTACCCTAGTCGTAAGCCTAGCGCTGGGCCGAGGAGTATGGAAAAAGCTGTGGAGGGAGCCTTGTTTTGGCAGTTATAGCCTATAGACCACACTGCTTTTATCCTGTGTTTGGCTGAGTGCTGGGAAAAGCTGAGTTTAGTTTACTTGTCAATTTCAGCACTTACTATGAAACCTTTAGTTTATTTCTTTCGGCTTGATTTTATTTTTTTTTTTTCCCTTGTGAGACATTTCAACAGAGGTGCTGCTAGTTTCATTCAATGGGAACTGTTGCTTTTTCAAGTATAACACTTGTAATGCAAGTTCTAATTCAATCGCTTCAAAAAGTGCTATTATAATAATGCTAATTTAATTGGTATTGTAGTTTTGAGAAAACTTAGAAGAAATAAGGCAGCAATATGTGAAAGCTGTGGAGCGTACTTGTTTTCATTCACTTATTTATTAAACATTTAATCCATTTTTCAGATGCTTTTATTCAGTTTATAATTTTGTTTTCTTTGTTATGGCTTTTTTCTCAATACTAGAGTGCAATGAGAAGAATATGTTACACAAAGCCTGTAGTTACAGTAATATATTTTAGTTTGACAGCCTTTGAACCGTGTGTTTGCAGTTTCCATTGACTTTGCTAGTGACCAAGTTAATGCTTTTACATGTTGGGAAAATTGGAGGATATAGAGATGCTATTGGAAACAATGGGTCAACTCATGTAATTTAACACTGAACATGGGATTATCCACTTGTCTTGCATATTACAACTGTGTATGTATTTTATAGGATTTGCCTTTTTTATAGTTACAATGTATAATCCTCTCATTGGTTTTGTCATCTGTCACATGAAGCCTTTTGTGAATTTGCAGAAAATTGAATTATTCAGTTTTATACATGTCAGTCATTCTTTCTTCTCCAGAATCTGCAGATTCAATTATGTCAATTACATTTATTTATATTATAATTTTGCCTATTTCTGCAAAGGTTAAAAATATTGTCACTTTCCAACTTTGTCAGCTGATTTGTGTATAGAACGTCTTTAGTGTGTAAATAAACAGCTTCAGACAAATTGGCCATGCTTACTACAGAGGGCCAAATGTTGATATATTAAGTCTCCAAGAAAAGCATTGTTGACTTCTGTAGCTCAGATCCTAACAGGAGAATGATTACAGAATGCAAATTGATTACTTTCAAATATTTTGGTGCTGTGTAGGCAATGTTTTATTTTGTGCATCAATCTAAGTTGATCCAGTTGATCCAGTATCATCCATATTTTCTCCTTATTAAAATAATATCTCAAGTGTCTTTTTTGCCTTCCTATAGATATTTTATCACTTAGATTAAAGTTATTCTTACAGGGCTACATAGTTTTGTTGCTTTGTTATTTCCATAAGCTCTAGGGGGAGATGGACGCTTTAAAGAAAGTCTTAATAAATTACATTCATTCTTCTTGTCTTTCTCAACTCCACCAGTAATTTATCAAATAAAACTCTCAGACATGTTTGGTGCAATGTGTTCCTTGTGCATCCTTGCAGTTTATAACTCATGTTTTCCAAGTGCAGTATTCAAATGCATATGCAATTTTGCTTTTTTGTTTGTTGTTTGGTTTTTATTTATTTATTTCTTTTTAAGGTCTAACCAAATCTTAGTTTGTTTTGTTTGCTGATAAAATGCCTGCTGGGTTCCTTTGGGTACCAGGAAGGGAAATATGATTGTCCCTAACGCTACAGGATAATTCTGAGTATCCATGGTAAACAGTCAATGTTAGATTTGAAGCCTTTCACTTTTGCATGTAAGTTTTTGTAGTGAAGGAGTAACCTCTCCACATAATAATGTGCACACAAACTACGGATGAAATTGGGTTGTATGGGAAAAGCAGCTTCATAATCAGCATGTAAGAAGCTTTACTGGTAAAAAGGGAACTTGCATTAGTTGAATATGATTCCTGTTGGAAAGGGTTGGATCTGCCCTGATTGTGCCTAACCCAGCACCCTCAGTGTCCCTGCAGTGCCACTGAGGGCTGTGCAATTAGATTTCACTTGTGCTTTCTGTGAAAGGGTTTCTGCAGAAGCCCTTCATTAAGATTAGGTCCTCCTCCCTTCCCTTAAATTCCAAGACAGCCTGGTAACTGAATTCCTACATGGAACAGACTGGAAAATTGCTGAAAGAGCTCTCCTCCACCAGTGCTTGGGCTGTGAGGGGGAATCCCAAGCTGTAAAAGGCCCCAGAGTGGAGGTTCCTAAGACTGTAATCCCTGAGGGGGATGTGTCAGGGTGGGAGGAATGAGGGTACCTGCAGAAAGGAGCAGGTGTTTGCACAGGTACCTGCAGGTTGTTACAGGGTAGAATTTTTCAAATTTAGAGAGCACTTCTGAAGGCCTGCTCCTCTTGGAAATGGCATGGCTATTCTAGTAGCAAATTCGAAAAATTGTAAAGAGGTCTTGGGGAAAAAAAGCTGGTTTTAATCTTTTGGACAATACTAAAGAAAATGTCCTAATTGTGAGATTTAAATAAACTTTTTTATTTTATTCAGACTGTGTGCTTCTCCTCTCATCAGTTTGCACTGCAATACTGAATATTCCCAGTGTAGCTCATCGGATTTGCATTGTAACACATAACAACAGCTGCATTTTTCTGCTTCACATTTGTAGCTTCTCCAAAGTACAGAATTCCTGTATTGGCACTGCAGTGGTGCCTGTTACTTTATCAAAATAATAATGCTCTGTCTTACTGCATGAGGAGCCAAAACCATTTGTATCAATTTTTCTGAATATAAAGGTTTTTTTTTAACATTAATGTTTGCAGAGATTTAGCAAGGTCTTAAGTCACTAAAAAAGGGTTGTGTCTGGTAGGTATTGACCTTGGCAGGTATTTTGTTGTTCAGAAGTCATTGCATACTGACTTGTTGGAATACTTTATATATGTCATTTAATTTGCTTTCAAAGTTATTTCTGAAATGTTAAAGAATAAGGCTTTAAATTGGCGTAGTGCTGATGGTTGGCACTAATTATGCATATTATTGATCCTGTTCAGTGTTATTATGCAAATACTGAAAATTAAGTACCTTCTAAACTGTTTTGCTGGATTTGTGCACAAGTCTTAACAGAACTAAGAGATAACGAAGGCCTGTTAGAAAGCTGTAGGTAACACATGAGGCTCAAATTTGCATTTAGCTGGCATTAGGAATGAACATCAGTCTTCTCTTAGTGAAAACAAAATAATGATTCCTTAAACTGGTAGGAAGTAAAGTGTTTCATAGGGACTTTGGATTTTGAAATA